TTTCCAATCAGTGGATGTTTGTTTGCTAGGAATTTTCATTGTTTTATACTTTAATCTACGCAAAAAAAGTCGATATCCTGTCCGGTTCCTGGGCTACGAAATCTCCCGCTAAAAATTTCACATTTCGAAACGCAAGACATAAGCATATATAAAAGCTGAATTTGAAGTCTTGGGGATGATGAACATCCCTCGAAAATTTCAGTCTCTTTTTTTTCTGGCTTCAAGTGACTATCACGCCACGACTTTCACGTGGTCGTGCGTGGGATCTCAACATACCTGGGAGCTGAATTTGGATTTTTGAGTCATGATATCAAAGCACGTGGAAGGGCTACATTTAAATTTACGGGACCCTACATGTTCAGGGGACATTCAGCTATAGTTTTATTTTTCGAGTCTTCGTGGTTCCCGAGCTAATAATTTTCCCCACCGAAACTTTCACCAAGCCTGCATCGTACCGGGCGCACCGAAAGGCTGAATTTAAATTTGCTCTGGGATGTACTTGGGCAGGGGGCATCACTCAAAAATTTCAGCTTCCTAGCTTTGGCTTTTCCCAAGTAGAAAGTGCAGGACAAGGTGCAAACATATATACATATACACACATACCCGTAGACAGACAGACAGGGGTGTGACAATATGTGTTTTATGCTGCTGTTATACAATGCAAAATGCATAAAAAGCTCAAAATAAAGGCCAAAAACTATACATGTATACATGTATAGTTTTTTTCCTTTATTTATAAAACTAAATGGCGGGAAATTATGTATAAAACTAAAAATGTATAAAACTAAAAGGCGAAAAATTCTCCGCGAAGTAACTACAGAAAATGCTTTGGCTGGGTACTGAATTCTGGTTTAGAAGTGGCACAGGGAAATGGCAGGTTATGAAAACCCGTAACTGCAAGCATGTCGAGGAGACATCGTGCTACGAACCAGTACCACAAAGACAAGCGGTTGGTAATTTTATGATGGCCACGTAGCCATGAAAGCAAAAGCGCTACACAACACCTTACGAGGGACAAAATATGAGGAGAAAACAAAACGGGCCCTCCTATCTTGATGGTAACAGATAGGCAACAAAGAATCTCAAATGCTGAACGGGTAGCGGGACAGGCGAAGGCCTAGACCATACAATAGGCACCCAAAATTGTAGGTCGCTATTGAGAATGAGTTCATAACCCGTCTTTTCCAGGAACTCGACTGGATATCATGCGAAGCTTTCAGTCTGCGAGCGTGCGTTTTAACTCAACGAAAGACCAAACATATCGTAACCTGGAGGGATGGCCAAGCCGTTTTTGATTTTTTGAAAGAAATTGGAGGGGAACTCGAGCAATACATTAAACAACAGAAATAAATATATGCACCAATTTTTCAGCGTTCACCCATGCGGCATCCTCTTCCGGAACGCCGTACCAACACACTAGGTACTGCGTATGGCCGTCATGAGAACGCCTGCCGATAAGTTTGTCCACAATCAGCCCGTCGATCAACGCATCGTCGTTCCTCGTTGGTGGTGGTGGTGGAGCAGCGAGTCCTGGCCGATCAGCGCTTCGCCGTTGTTCCTCAATGTCTTTCGACACTGAAACACGCCCGCACAAATTCACTATGGCTCCAAATGGTGGTGAGCTACAGCAGGAAAGCGAACACAACAAACCACGTGAAAGTTCCGGCCGGGAACATTATTATCTCGGGGATCTAAAATTTTACGGCGACATTAATAAGCATGATCGCACCGGTTCGATGGACGGAATTGCATAAAATTCATGATCGCACCGGTTATTCTAATGCGCGCTGCTATTTATTATGCATTTCCTGCATCTATGCAATGCAGAAAACACATATTGACGAGGGGTTGTCTGTGTGTGTGTGTGTCTGTGCGCCTGGGTGTGCGTCTCTCACGGTTTTCATCTCAAGACTTACAAAAGCTACAGGGCTGAAAGTTTGGGAACTTAATCTACATGCACGTACGGGCCCAATCCCGAAAATGAGCTCTCCTACCCGAGTGATACTCACGTACGGGCCCGTCAAAGATTTTGGCAGAGAAGCTGATAACTCGGGAATCAGAAAAGATAGAAAGCTGAAATTTTGACGAGATATTCCTCATCCATATGGTATTAATGAGCTCAAAACCAGCTCCCGGGTATGCGTGGTTCCCACACACAAGCCCGTGAAAGTTTTTTCGGGTAAGTTGCTAACTCGGGAACCTGAAAAGCTAGAAAACCGAAATTTTAAAGGGATGTTTACCAACCAAGTAGGTATTAATGAGCTCAAATCCAGCCCCTGGGTGTGCGTGGTTCCCACGTACGGGCCCATGAAATTTTTTTTTTCGGGTAAGTTGCTATCTCGAGAACTTGTGAAGCTAGAGGATTGAAACTTTAAGAGAACATTTCCCGTCCGCGTAGGTGTCAGTGAGCTCAAACCCAGTCCACGCGTGTGCATGGCTCCTATGTACGGATTCGTGAATCTTTTTGTGAGTAATTTGCTAACTCGGGAACGAGGAAATTAAGAAAACAAAAACTTTAAAGGGGTGTTTCATGTCGGTACCTGGCGGTCAGCCCTAACTCGTTTAGCTAGAAGCATCTGCAGGAAAAACTCGTGCCATTAGCAACAAAAACCTGCGAGGAACTAAGTAAAAAACGTATCTTCGCACCGTCAGTTCGTGCGCAGCTACTAATTTTTTTTTTCAGTGGTATCTCAGTGTGAGAAAATATTTTGATTTTTAACTTTTCAAGTAAATCTACATAGCTCATCATTCACTCCCTTTTTCTGATGACAGATTTACATATATCTGAGAAAAAAGAATGGCAGTCAAAAAATCTTACTACCAGTGACGAACAGTGTAAGTGCTGTAATTTGGCTATTGTCCATCTATGTCAGTTTGTTAAAAAAAACTGGACTATAGGAAAAAAGGGTGGGAGCGAGAGGAAAGGAAGGGGGAGGCAGGGGACAAAGGACGGGGTGGGGGCAGAAAGCGGGGTTCGATTTCGAAAACAGTAATCAGTTAAGCATACTTGAAGGAATTTGCTGTTTTCTTCTTTTAGCCGATGAAGCTTCATGCACTGTTTCTTCATGCATCCGTTTCGGTGCATCGCGTACAGTTGAAGAAGCACTCTAAAAACACGCGCAAGGTCAGAATTCG